AAATAAGGCCAGGTACGGTGGCTCATGCCTATAATCCCAGCACTTTGGGAGGCCGAGGCGGGTGGATCACGAGGTCAAGAGATCAAGACCATCCTGGTCAACATGGTGAAACCCCGTCTCTACTAAAAATACAAAAAATTAGCTGGGCATGGTGGTGCGTGCCTGTAATCCCAGCTACTCAGGAGGCTGAGGCAGGAGAATTGCCTGAACCCAGGAGGCGGAGGTTGTGGTGAGCCGAGATCGCGCCATTGCACTCCAGCCTGGGTAACAAAAGTGAAACTCCGTCTCCAAAAAAATAAATTAATTAATTAAAAAAAAATACAACTCAAGAACAGCCAAATGGAAGAGATGTATAGAGCCAGAAACAGTGGTAGGGTAAAATGAGGTGCGCAGGTAATTCTGGAAATAACTGTGATTAAAAAAATTCCCCATATTTTTGTGTGTTCTCCAGGAACAGCTTAATGTGGAGAAATACCCTTCCCATTATGACTTAGAGGATGCTCCCTTTTGGACCTATCACAAAGATGGACACAGACTGCAAATTCCCATTGTTCATATAAACAATCACCTCAGTAACTTAGCCTTCAGTGGTCAAAACGAAATACTTGTTAACCAAACTTTGCTTACGTTTCTCTTTCCCACAGGCCCCTGAACTTTGACCCACCCAAAGCCTAAGTCAACATAGGACCCCTATTTATGGCCCTCCTAAAAGCAGAGTGACTTCAGGGTGAAACGTTCTCTGATTTGCGATCTGATTTTGCTACCCTCCATCCTGCACCTCCCTTTCCACCTTCTTTGGAATCTTGTTGCTCCTCCCTATGAAATAATCCCCCTCCCAGCCGGGCGCGGTGGCTCAAGCCTGTAATCCCAGCACTTTGGGAGGCCGAGGCGGGTGGATCACGAGGTCGAGAGCTCGAGACCATCCTGGTCAACATGATGAAACCCCGTCTCTACTAAAGGTGCAAAAAATTAGCTGGGCATGGTGGCGTGCGCCTGTAATCCCAGCTACTTAGGAGGCTGAGGCAGGAGAATTGCCTGAGCCCAGGAGGCGGAGGTTGCGGTGAGCCGAGATCGTGCCATTGCACTCCAGCCTGGGTAACAAGAGCGAAACTCTGTCTCAAAAAAAAAGAAATAATCCCCCTCCCGCCTAACCTTTGAGATCCTCAAAGATCTCATACTTGGTACTTTTTCTCTGCTGCAATACTCCTTAAGTAACTTCTTATGTAAATCCAAATTAGTTTTATTTGACAAAGTCTAAAAACAGTCCCAGAACAATAATTCCATCCTAATAAGGGCCTCTCAACTATCCTTCTATCTCAACCCTAACTGTATCTGCCTGTGGACTTCCAGCTTACCTGGTTTATATATCTTGTGTCAGCACAAAAGGCTCCTTCCATGGTTGGTGTGAGCAGGCTGGGACCTGCAGGGCAAACATCTCTGTGGGTCCAATATTGAAGGCCAGGGAGGAAACAAATGGACCTTCAATGACCCCCTTTTGTAGGCTCAAGACTGGGCTTAGCTTGAAGTCACTGGGCTTAGACTTCTACTTCCCGGCAAGGCTCATTCACTTATTTTTAAATTTAAAAAATACTTAAGTGTTTGAAAAATCTAGCAAGAATCACTCAAACCTAGGGTTATAAAAAAGAAAGGAAAACCGTAAGGCGCTTACATTTTATACTCCAAAAAGTATCTATCCCTTTAAGAAAATGACCATGTAATTTATTTCCAGGATATCAAATCATTTAGTAAACAATTAACCCTATGTGAATACTTCAAGGAGGTGCCAAGTCTCACCTCCTAAAACGTAGCCTTAACCTCAAACATCCAATAAGGGCATACAGAACAGAGATATTCACTGTCATAAATTCTCTACTCTGCAAAAAAGAACAACTGATGTTGTGATGAATCTGTGTAATTTGACAATTAATATAACACACTTTGTTGTGGAAGTGTATTCATTTCCTACTCCCATAATGGAAAAAGGATTATCCCTATCCTTTTACTGGTAACATTCCCAAAGCCCCTAGATTCTGTTTGCAATCACCCACCAAACAAACAAAATATAGGCCTGAAAAACTTACTATCCTCATTCTGGTGAAGAAATAAGTAAATAACAATTTTTAACAAATGGAATATATGACTACTTAATTTTTTTTTTTTTTTTTTTTGAGACGGAGTTTTGCTCCTGTTACCCAGGCTGGAGTGCAATGGCGCAATCTCGGCTCACCGCAACCTCCGCCTCCTGGGTTCAGGCAATTCTCCTGCCTCAGCCTCCCGAGTAGCTGGGATTACAGGCACGAGCCACCACGCCCAGCTAATTTTTTTTATTTTTAGTACAGATGGGGTTTCACCATGTTGACCTGGATGGTCTCGATCTCTCGACCTCGTGATCCACCCGCCTCGGCCTCCCAAAGTGCTGGGATTATAGGCTTGAGCTACCACGCCCGGCGACTACTTAATTTTTTTCCTGAAATTCACCACCTTAATGCCCTTTATATTGTCTTACCTTTCAAGCTCTACTGATAAAATACAATTTACACTTAATTAAAAACTGAAGTTAAATAAGTACACAAATCCTTCCAAGGCGACAAACTCAGGAAGCGGCGATGCTGACTGGAACACAGACATATCTGACTTAAATGTCAAGTCAAGCCATTCTATCACTTGGGACATTTTCCCACCTCCATCCTGGTCACTGAAGTGGACAATAACCATTCTACCAAGAGCCACTGTGCTGCGCCCCACTGCGTCCCTTAGAGGCATTTTGCTTTGCAGGTTTTTGCAAATCCTCACTGGGTTGGATGTTCCTTGTCCTTGGGGATGTTTTTTCTCTCTTCACCAGTCTGTGAAAATTTTGTCCTCCACACCAGCATCTAATTGCCCGGCCACCACTGTATCTCTAAGGAATGGATATTGGGGTTGGGGAAGAAAATCTTCATGTCCTAAGGGATTTGCTTTTGGAGGAAAGGTATGTCTGATATTTCCCAGGCACAGTGTACCAACTACTCTGCAGAGAGGCTGCATTTCCACACCTCAGGCTGCCCCTGAGAGGAGATGACCCAGGTGCTGATATTGACCAGACACTTCAGGAGACAGAGCCACTGTGCGCATCTTGGGTCATTCCCAGACAGTTCTGAAACTCAAAATCAGGAAAATAACACAGGTGGCTGAGGATGCATTGCCCTGTGAAGTTTCCAAAGTGGAACCTCAACCCAAAAATAGTCGGTATCTGTGCCTAGGAAAGATTAAAGGGAGATCAGCACAAAGGTTTCGGTTTTTGGTTGGTGTGTGTGTGTGTGTTGTGGTTTTTTTTTTTGAGATGAAATCTCACTCTGTTATCCAGGCTGGAGTGCAGTGGCGTGATCTCAGCTCACCCGTCTCCTGGGTTCAATCAATTCTCCTGCCTCACCCTCCCAAGTAGCTGGGATTATAGGCACATGTTACCATGCCCTACTAATTTTTATATTTTTAGTAGAGACGGGGTTTCACCATATGGTCAAGCTGGTCTCAAACTCCTGACTTAAGGTGATCCACCCACCTTAGCCTTCCAAAGTGCTGCGATTACAGGCATGAGCCACTGCACCTGGCCTTTTTTCCAGTGGAGTGTTGGGATTACTCTCCCCTTTCACCTCCTGTAAAATATTTGCAAATGAAAGATAATCCTTTTTAAAGAAATGCCATCCGCTACTCTTTGATAATGATTAATCAAAATACTGTGTCTGAAATGTGCAAAAAAGGACCAATAGTTGATAATGTTGTGAATTAGAGAGGGGAAGTTGGTACTGAAGAATGTCAGGAAAGAAATGAAAATTTAAAATTTGACTGCAAGCCAGAGTTAGGCCGGGGCAACAGAGTGGTAGATCTGAGACTCTGTCACACATTTGGAAAATGCAGGAGAAAACCATTTCTCCTGTGGACTGTTAATTAAATAGCAGGCAATTAGATTGAGGTGAGTCTAGTGCCCCGAGTTCCTATATTAAATAAATAAAGGCAAATACAGCCAGGCGCGGTGGCTCAAGCCTGTAATCCCAGCACTTTGGGAGGCCGAGGCGGGTGGATCACGAGGTCAAGAGATCGAGACCATCCTGGTCAACATGATGAAACCCCGCCTCTACTAAAAATACAAAAAATTAGCTGGGCGTGGTGGCGCGTGCCTGTAATCCCAGCTACTCAGGAGGCTGAGGCAGGAGAATTGCCTGAACCCAGGAGGCGGAGGTTGCAGTGAGCCGAGATCACGCCATTGCACTCCAGCCTGGGTAACAAGAGCGAAACTCCGTCTCAAAAAAAAAAAAAAAAAAAAAAAAAAAAAAAAAAAAAAGGCAAATACATTTCTTGTAAATTGCTATCTTAGGCGGAAACAAAATTCAGATTTAAGCAACCACAAACCTTCAGTTAACTTCTGATTACATAACCAGGCAATGACAACCTGAATGGTCTAAATAAGATGACTACATAACTGGAATGAGTCAGTTACTGAGCTCGGTTTGCTTCCTCGTGCACCTTACAAAATCTTTCCTTCAAGCCCTTCGACTGGACCCCCAAACCACAAACCGTGGCTGGGTGCTCTCCGATCACGAATCACTGTTAACTTTAATAAAGTTTTTAACATTTTAAAGTGACTCCGTTTGTTTTCGACTGAGGACCCCCGGGATCACAGCTCCTCCCACGCACAAACCACACACGGAGTCTGGACTCTGCCCCGAGGACCCTGCCATTGTTCCCGCAATCGGGAAAGACGCAGAACGCTCGAGGCGCTTCCCAGGGTGGGCTGCAGGCGGGACGCGGGAGAACCTAACGGGATGCCCGCCCAGGGTGCTGGCTGCTGGCCCACCTTGCACCGCGTGGCCGGAGGGGACCGAGGGCCGAGCTGCGCCTGCGGGGACTCAAGTCCGCAGACTCCGGAGCTGACTGCGGGGAGGCCCCCGTCCCGTCACAGCCGGTTCAGGCCGGTTTCAACCAGCCCTGCCCCCACCTCGGGACACTCGGCCTGGCACACTCACCATTCTTCGGTTTCCGGGATGTCCTGGAGTCTTAGCTCTGGATCTCACAGCATCTGCAGGTCACAGGGCGACAGAGGCTGCGACAGAGTCACCGGAACCTCCTAGAGCAGAGGATACTAAGCAACGAAGATGGACCCTGAGCTCCGGCTGGAGCGAGACAAAGGCCCCGCCAGCTCCAGGATACCGCCCCCTCCTCGCTGGATGCGCACCTGATTGGACAGTTCCCACTCTAGAGCCCATGATTGGATACAGTTCTATGCCCCGCCCCCTCAGGTCATGAGTGACAGGAGACGTGATCTGACACTGGGTTGAATAAGGCCAAGAATTACAGGTTTTTCCTGCACTTTTTTTTTTCTGGCACGCTTCCTCCCTACACTGGAAACTGGCCTTGCCTGGGGAACATTTGCATTTAACTTTGCATATAAGGTTATCTTTATGTGCGAATATACACATGTTATTCACGAATGGAAACAATAGGACAATTATTTTAAAATTTCAGATTTCATCATTTTCCTGGCCTCCGGTGTTTTGAACAGGCAGCCTGAGACGTCACAAGGGAGGCAGGTCTCTAAGAAATAAAATGTGAGGCACATATGAATCTTAAATTTTCTAGTAGCCACATTTTTAAGAAGAAACCAGGCGTGATAGCCTGTTCCTGTAGTTCTATCTACTACGGAGGCTGAGGTGGGTCATTACTTGAGACAAAGAGTTTAGGAACAGCCCTGGCTGGCCGGGCGCGGTGGCTCAAGCCTGTAATCCCAGCACTTTGGGAGGCCGAGGCGGTTGGATCATGAGGTCAATAGATCGAGACCATCCTAGTCAACATGGTGAAACCCTGTCTCTACTAAAAATACAAAAAATTAGCTGGGCATGGTGGCGCGTGCCTGTAATCCCAGCTACTCAGGAGGCTGAGGCAGGAGAATTGCTTGAACCCAGGAGGCGGAGGTTGCGGTGAGCCAAGATCGTGCCATTGCACTGCAGCCTGGGTAACAAGAGCTAAACTCCATCTCAAAAAAAAAAAAAAAAAGAACAGCCCTGGCAACATAGCAAGACCCCGTCTCTACAAAAAAATAATTTAAAATTTAGCCAAGCCTGGTGGCACATGCCTGCAGTCCCGGCTACTCAGAAGGCTGAAGTGGGAGGATGGTTTGAGCCTGGGAGGTCAAGACTACAGAGAGCCATGATCACACCATTACACTACAGCCTGGGTGACAAAGTGAAACTCTGTTTCAAAATAAAAGATCTCTGAAGAAGGCATTTTCTTTTTCTGCAATTTAACCAAACAGTTAAATATGTCTTGAAGTCATCTTCTAATTTTTTTTTTTTTTTTTGAGACGGCGTTTCGCTCTTGTTACCCAGGCTGGAGTGCAATGGCGCGATCTCGGCTCACCGCAACCTCCGCCTCCTGGGTTCAGGCAATTCTCCTCCCTCAGCCTCCTGAGTAGCTGGGAGTACAGGCACCCACCACCACGCCTGGCTAATTTTTTTTTTTTTTTTTTTTTTGAGACAGTTTCAAAAAATAAAATAAAAATAAAAAAAAAAAATAAAAAGTAAAAAAAAAAAAAGAAAACAGGAAAAGAGAAAGTTTCACTCTTGTCACCCAGGCTGGAGTGCAATAGTGCAAACTTGGCTCACTGCAGCCTCTGCCTCCTGGGTTCAAGCAATTCTCCTGCCTCAGCCTCCCGAGTAGCTGGGATTACAGGCACGTGCCACCATGCCCAGCTAATTTTTGTATTTTTAGTAGAGACGGGGTTTCACCGTATTGCCCAGAATGGTCTCGAATCCCTGACCTCAGGTGATCCACCCACCTCAGCCTCCCAAAGTGCTAAGATTACAGGTGTGAGCCACCTCGCCCAGTCATAATTTTTGTATTTTTAGTAGAGATGGCATCATGTTGACCAGGCTGATCTCAAACTCCTGACTGCATAATCCACCCGCCTGGGCCTCCCAAAGTGCTGAGATTACAGGTTTGAGCCACCGCCCCCGATCCTATTGGTTGAAAGTGTGTGGCCCCTCCCCCCACACGTCCGCCTGCTCCAATCACGTAAGACGTGCCTGCTTCCGCTTCGCCTTCCGCCGTGATTGAAGTTTCCTAAAGCCTCTCCAGAAGCCGAACAGATGCCAGCATCATGCTTCCTGTACAGCCGGTAGAACCAAGTAAGCCAATTAAACCTCTTTTCTTTGTAGACTTCCCAGTCTCAGGTGGTTTTTTTGGTTTTGTTTTTTGTTTTGGTTTTTTTTTTGACGGAGTTTTGCTGTTGTTACCCCCAGGCTGGAGTGCAATGGCGGGATCTCGGCTCACCGCAACCTCCGCCTCCTGGGTTCAGGCAATTCTCCTGCCTCAGCCTCCTGAGTAGCTGGGATTACAGGCACACGCCACCATGCCCAGCTAATTTTTGTATTTTTAGTAGAGACGGGGTTTCACCATGTTGACCAGGATGGTCTCGATCTCTTGACCTCGTGATCCACCCGCCTCGGCCTCCCAAAGTGCTGGGATTACAGGCTTGAGCCACCGCGCCCAGCCTCATCTTCTAATTTTTAACAGGGCAAGGATGTTTTCTAAAACCCCAATTTCCAGAGTTGCCATGAGGCAAATCCCTGCAGCATACATGAAAATTACCCTCAGCTAATGCATTCCTCATCAGATCCAGCGCTTCTCACTTCCCCCTGGCACATAAGAATCACCTGCGGGGCTGAGCCACCGTGCCGGGCCCCAGTCTTAGGTGTTTTTCTTTAATGGCAATGCAAGAACACACTAATACAGCTGGGTTATTGGGGCCACATCAGTGGAATCTATTCAGTGGAGTCATGTGGGACCTGGTCAACAGGGCCTGATAAATAGGTCTTTGTGAATGGGGATCTGGTCAGTGCTGACCTGGTCAGCAGCAGCCTGGTCAATAGCACCTGTCAGTGGGGCCTGGTCAATGGGGACACAATCATTGGAGATGTAGTCAGAGGAAGCCTGGTGAGCAGGCACCTGGTCAATGAGGACCTGGTCTGAGGGGACCTGGTCAGAGGAGACTGGTCAGAGGTCCTGGCCACTTGGGACTACATCAGTGTGTGCTGGTCAGCATGAGCCTGGTCAGCTGAAATCTGGTCAGTGGGGGCCTGATGAGTATGACCTGGTTATTGGGGTCCTGGTTAGTGGAAACCTGATCATTGAGGCCTAGTCAGTCTGGCAGTGGGGGCCCAGACAGTGGGGGTCTGTTCAGTAGGGATCTGGTCAGTGGGGGCCTGGTTATTGGGATCCTGGGTAGTGGGGCCTAACCAGTAAAGATCTGGTCATTAAGGACCTGGTGAGAACCTCATCAGTCAGTGGGGGGACTTGGCCATTGTGGGGCTTGGTAGTGGGGTCTGGAATTGGGGGGCCCATCAGTGGAACCTGGCTAGTGGGGCCTACTTAGTGGAGGTCTGGTCAGTGGGATCCTGGTAAGTCGGGGCCTCATCAGTTGGGGCCTGGTCAATGGGAACCTGGTGAGTGAGGAACTTGTCAGTGGGGCCAAGTCAGTGAAATGTGGTTGCTGGGTACATAATCAACTGTGGTCTTGTCAGTGGGGACCTCATTAGTTGAGGCCCAGTCAGTGGGGGACTAGCAGTGGAAGCCTCATCCGTGGTCCTGGACAGTGAGGCCTGGTCACTGGAGGTCTGGTCAGTGGGTCCTGGTTATTGGAGGCCTGGTAGGCAAAGACATAACCAGAAACTGGTCAGTTGGGGCCCAGTCACTGGGGGTTTTGTCATATGGGCCAGTCAATGGGGGCCTAGGAGAGTAGGCCTCATTGGGGGTCCTGGCTAGTGGGACCTAGTCAGCGGTGGTCTGGGGTCCTGGTAAGTTGAGGCCTCATCAATTGAGGCCTGGTCAGTGGGGCCTGATCACTGGGGTCCTTGTTGACCCCTCTGGCTAGTGGGGACTGGTCAGCGAAGTTCGGGGTCATTGGGGACCTGGGTAATGGGTCCTAATCAGTAAAGGTCTGGTTACTAAAGACCTGGCCAGTCAGAACCTCATCAGTCAAGGACCTGGTCAGCTGGGACCACATCAGTTAAGGACCTGGTCAGTTGGAACCTCGCCAGTTAAGGACGTGGGCAGGGGGGACCCCGCCAGTGAAGGACGTGGGCAGGGGGGACCCCGCCAGTGAAGGACGTGGGCAGGGGGGACCCCGCCAGTTAAGGACGTGGGCAGGGGGGACCTCGTCAGTTAAGGACGTGGGCAGGGGGGACCTCGTCAGTTAAGGACTGGTCAGTTGGAACCTCGCCAGTTAAGGACGTGGGCAGGGGGGACCACGTCAGTTAAGGACTGGTCAGTTGGAACCTCGCCAGTTAAGGACGTGGGCAGATGGAACCTCGTCAGTTGGGCCCGGTCAGTGGGGGCCTGGCAGTGGAAGCCTCATGAGTGTGTCCTGGATAGTGAGGCCTGGTCACTTGAGGCCTGACAGTGGGACCTAGTCAGTGAGGTTCTAGTCACTGGGTACTGGGCTCTGGGGCCTGTTCAGTAAAGTGCAGTCAGTGAAAACATGGTCAGTTGGAACCTTGTTAGGCCCTGTTGGTGGGGACCTGGTCAGTGGGGCCCTTGTCAGTTGGGCACAGTCAGTGGAGGTCTCTCTCTGGTCAGTGCGTTCTTGGTAAGTTGGGGCCTTATCTATGGAAACCTTGTCGGCGGGGACCTGGTCAGTGGAAGCGTGGGCAGCGGGGACCCAGTCAGTGGAAGCGTGGGCAGCGGGGACCCAGTCAGTGGAAGCGTGGGCAGCGGGGACCCGGTCAGTGGAAGCGTGGGCAGCGGGGACCCAGTCAGTGGAAGCGTGGGCAGCGGGGACCCGGTCAGTGGAAGCGTGGGCAGTGGGGGCTTGTCAGTTGGGACAGTCAGTGGGGGTCTGGTTACTTGGGACCTGATCTATGGGGACCTGGTCATTAGGGTGCTGGGTAATGAGTCCTAGTCAATATTATGACCTAGTCTGGTCGTTAAGGGCCTGGTCAGCGGGTCTTGGTTCATGCGGCCTAGTCTGTAGAGGTTTGGTCAGTGGGGTCCTGGTAACTCAGGGTCTCATCTATGGGGACCTGGCTGGTGGGGACCTGGTCAACAAGGGTTTTATCCATTAAACCTAATTGTCAGGGCCTGGTCAGCTGAGGCGTAGTCACCGAGGCCCAGTCAGTGGGGGCCTGACAGTGGAAGCC